CGAGTAAGTCTTTTGGTGTTGAGGTCGCTGAGGTTAAACTGCGTGGGGATAGCTTTCAGGTACAACTCCTTTTCCTTAACAGCACTTTGTGGACAGGAGGTCTCCGTAGGGACACAGGACGCCGTAGTCCTTGGTACCCAAGAGGTACTTCACGGTCTGCTTGGCAAACGTCGTGGCTGCCTCCGTTGGGGTCTTCAGGTAGGAAGCAAGGTTCTTTACCGCACACTGCACATCTGGTCTCTCCTGGCACAGGTAGAGCAACACAGCTAAGATGCTCCTAAACTTTGTGCTCTCTTCACTTCCGAGTTCCTTTGAAGAGTCAGGCTTTCCTACTCCATTGTGGTCTGGCGTCGGCTTTGTCTGCTGCTTGCACAAAGCCCAGTCAGCTTCTCTGAAGCTTCGAAGTACTTCCCATTCGGTAGCACCAAAACGCCTTCTTCCACAAATTTGAAAATTTTCTTGAGGTACAACATCTCCTTGTCCTCAATTTCTGGATAAGGTCCATTGATCTTCAACGTAAGCTTCTGGCTCAGGATTACAATCACCCATTCTCCATCTTCCTTGTTTGCAGCTAACAGCTCACCATCCACATGGACATTGATGTAGGCTTGCCGCTTTACGTGCTTCATAATCGTGGGCATTGCTGAACAAGCTACAAAGCCCATGTCCTTTAGGATGTCCCTGAGGTACTCAAACCATCTCAAACCTGCATTCCTTTGTCCTGGCAAACATCTCTTCAGACGCCAGATCATTTCCTGGGTATATCCCAATAACTTCTTGATCCAAGCTGGTATTTCTACAACGTAGGGTTCTTGTTGAGGTGCCTGCAAAAATGCGTCAGCACAATCCAGGGTCCATAACAGCAGTCGTAGGACACAATGAAGAACAACCATCAGCTTGATGGCTGCCACACCTGAAGTTGGCGCAAACGTCTCCGCAGAGGATCCGGCGGTTGTCTTGAACTCCCCGCAGACGATTCTGCACCGTCTTAACCACTTCTCTGGTTCTCCTTTTCCTGGACTCCTGAACCTCCAGGCGTACACATTCTTCAGAGTCAACCACTTTGCTCCTTCAGGAGATTCATCTCTGGAGATCTCAGCAATGACACCCATTGCTTTGAGCTTCTCAACTTCCTTTCTAGCTGCTTCTTCATCCAACTTTTCAAGGTCCTCGTCACTCACCTCTGGTGGCTTTCCACCTTCCGTGTTTTCTTCCTTTACATCTTCTTCCACCAACATCCACTCTTCTTCTTCTCCATCACCTTTCAACTCTTCCAGCTCAACATGTTCCCAGCCTCCTTCTGCCTGAGCGATGGAGGCATTACCAGACACCACAATTGGTATATCCGTGTTTCCACTCTCCGCCAATTCAGCTAAAGGAATCTCAGCCGGTCTCTTGTTGCTAGGTCCCGTCGTGGAACTTGTTCCTGCTTCTGACCGAGGGGGTCGCAGAGGTTCTTCATTTTCATCCACCAGCATATCCATTTGACCAGTTGGACCTGGCCATCGCCACCGCAGGTGTAACCAATTCAATGATGGGCTCGGAGCGAGACTAGCCAAAATCTTTCCAGGATCATGCTCCTCCTCAATGAATGGTTGGGGCGGCGCCTTGGCCGGTGCTGTCACCCTGGGCGCGGTGCGCTGGGGCACCTGTGTGGTGACGTGAGCTGGGCCGGCGGAGCCTTGGTTGCTGCGGGCGGTTCTTCATCCGAGTCGGGTGGTAATGGTGAGGGGGCTTGGCGCACAGGTGGTGTGTTCACTTGTGGTGCATCTGCTGCGTCCGTGGTGGCCTGAGGCATAAATCGAGCCGTGGGTGACTCTGCCCATGGTCTGGCGGGCTGCTTGTTGTGTGGTGATGGTGACCTCTTCGGCGGCCAGATGTGACGGTGGTCCCTTTGGCATCGCTTTGGTTGCTGGCGGCTGCTGGTTCGCTGGCGCGCGCCCAAACGATGGTGCAGATGTTGAAGCCGAGCTTGATGAAGCAGCGGTCTGCATAGGCCTCGCCAATGTAGGTGCAGTGGAAGGTGTCCTGGCTCGGCGAGGTGACGGAAAACGTCCTCTGACCGTGCTCGGTGGGAGTAACCGGGCCTGCCATGGCCGCCTCTGCTGGCGCGTGGATCATTGCGTCCAGCTCATGCCAATCCCAAACTGCTTGATGGCCATTGTGTCACTTGTTGACAAGGACGTGAGGATCATATCGGTGGCCTCCGAGCGGGTGACATAGCGGAAGCTCTTCCGGTGCTGCACGTAGTGGAGGCGAACTGACGGCCTTTTCATGGTGTGTTGCCTGAATGCTGCATAAACTGCCTCGGGGAACGTATCAGCATGGAGGTTGGTGCAACTACCTTCTTTGATGCAATGCCCCCTGAAATAATTACGGCATGGTGAATTTAGGGGGACCCAAGCGTGATCAACAAAATCAGGGTAACGCACTCGCAGTTGGGCCGTCGACATGTCTGACGGCTGCAAACATCGGGGCACACTCGGCGAGAGAGTCATCGGTGAAGTTACGCTGCATGCCCATGGGGACCTCCTCCTCGAACTCCGAAATGATGTGCATGGCAGGATTGATGACCTGTTGCGCCGAGATGTCTTGGCCAAAGAACAAGGCCCAGTCGCGGAGGACGTCACCCGGGAGCTCATCCCACAGTGGATAGGCAACCGCGTCCACGTTCGTGTCCAGGGTGGTCATGGTGAACGGCGGATACCTGATAACGAAGCTTGCTCAGGTGGACCCTCGTCTGATGTAGTAGAGCTCGAGGAGGATGTAGATGAGGAAGAGGATGATTCTGGGTGTAGGATGCGCGGGGCTTCGCGCAAGAAGCGATCCAGGTAAGGATCACGGAGCTTGCCCTTGAGGTGTTGGAACAAATCGTTCCAAAGCAGACCGTCGGTGGCTTTCCGAAGGTCTCCCAGGTAGCGACAGATGCCGCTGTTTGACCGCTTACCTTCAGCGGTGAGTTGCTGCCACAGGCAGCTCTGTGCAAGGTGGAACAGTTGGTGTTCCTGTGAGGTCCTGGCGGATGCAGTAGCTGCAGAAGAACCAGGAATGGCGAAAGAAAATCTGAGGACACAAGGTGTCCTATCACAGGCGCACCAAACTAGAACCCAAATGGCAACGCATCAACCAAGGTCACAAGCAAGCACATCCTCATGCTTTGGGGTTCAAGTTTGGTGCTCAAGAGATTGTCATTCATGACGCCCACGTAATACACAGCATAAGTAAATGCATTGGACATGCCTACGACACACATAATTCAGGCTTGCGGCTTATGCTGCACAAATGGCACACACCAACACTCGTTTTGGAAAGTGGCATGCTAGCCATCAGGCAAGAGTACCAAAAATGAAGAAAAGACTATCATTGGCTCACATCCCGCCTATGTTGACCTGACCCTGCACGAAACCGATCACTCACAACATCAAAGACCACCACTGAAGTGTTCCGGTGGCAGGGGTGTACAATCTGCATCCAATGCAAGGGTTGTCAGCTAGTCAGCGTGGTATGAGAAATCGAATTGTGCGGAACTCGGCGTACCGCTGCTTGCCGGCTCGTTGTTCAATTGGCGGGCCAGACCCTTGGCCTACATACAGTATGTCCCAAGAATTGGGCCTGTGCGAGAGAAGACCTGGAAGGAACCATTAAGGCCAAGAGCATTCCCTTCCCGTCAAGTTCCTGAAGCTCCGCAATCTCCCACCAAAATCCCGGACCAGTAGCGCGTGCAGGATCAGAAAGCAACTAGAATGTCAGAAACAATGCATGATATTATTTGCAAACATCCAAGAACCCAAGATGGTCTAGTGCCTGAATCACCGATTGTCAAGCTCTTGCTTACAAACTGGCGCTGTTGCTGCTGCTCCTCCTCCTCCTCCTGCTGCTTTGAAGTCATAATGCAAGCATGTGTGCTGACTAGGGCTGAGCCGCTGTGCTGTGCAAGCAGTATGCTTCATGCAGGACAATAGCGTTCGACCAAAGGCTAGCATGAATGCACGAACAAGGCCAGGGATCAAGCAGACTCATCCAAGATCAGTTCGAAATCACCCACCTGACACGAAAAAGCAAATCCGACTGCACGCTATGACGGTTCCAAATCTCAAAGCAACATAATAACAGGAAAAAAAGCATCTCGACGGGAACTTCATTGAAATGATTCAACTTCAGTGACTTAAATGAGAAGCGAAAGTGAAAAACGATAATGTTTCCATTGAATCAAAATTTCTTGTGGATCGTTGGTTGCCCGGCTGCAGGAATTGGGAGGAGATGCGGGCCTTAGAGTGTATGGTCCAGATGTTAGGGTTTGGCGATTCAGTAGAAAGTTGGGGCAGACACCCGTGGGGCCCTCCTGTTTATAGAAAATTTCATGTTGGCGTGGGATACTGGGATTGTCCGATGCTGGGTATGTGGGATTGGTGGTGATATGCTTATGAGGGTTGTTTGGGATTTAGTCTTTGGGGTCCTTTAGGATTTGGGATTGCAGTGTCAAGGGGTGTCGAGGGTTCATGGTTTGGGGTTTGGGGCTTGGGGTTATTTAAGGTTTCGGGCTTGGAGTTCTTTCGCATTTGGTGTTCTTTAAGCTATACGGCTCGGGGTTCTTCGGCGTAAAGGGCTCGTGCCTCTCTAGGGCTCAGGGCTCAGGGTTCCTTCGCGTTTGGGGTTCTTTGGGGTTTGACTGTGATCAGGTCCTTCAGGTTTTAGAGTTTGGGGTTCGTCAGGGTTGGGGGCTGGGATTGGGGGCCGCTCAGGGTTTAGGGTTTCGGGGTTTGGATTTTAGGGTTGGGGGTTCTTCAGAGATGTGGGTGGGGTTCTTCGGAATTTTGTGCCGGGTTTCTTTACCGTCAGGGGTTGTTCAAGGTTTGGGGCTTGCAGTTCTCTTGGATTGGGGTTCCGGGTTCTTGCGAGTTTGGGATTTGTAAGGGTCGGTTGAGGGTTTGTGGTTCTTCAGGGTGTTGGGCTTGGGATTCTTTGTGGTTCGGGCACGGCACTCTAGCGTATGGGGTTTAGTTTAGTGCTCTTTAGCGGTTTGATTAGGGTTTGCGTCTCTTTAGAATGGCGTTCTTTGAGGTTTCGGGAGTTATGCTTGGGGTTTTTAGGGTTTGGGGTTCTTGAGGGTTTAGTTTGTAATGGGGTCATTTCAGTTTTAGAGTTTTGGGTGAGGGCTACGGGTTGCTTAGATCTGCTTAGGGTGGAGGGTTTAGGGTTCCTGACAGTTTAGGGTTTGAAGTTCTTGAGGATTTGATTGAGCGGCCTTTCATCTGAAATCTTGATACATCTTGGAGAACTGGCAATTTAGGAACGCCTAGCTTGCACAGACCAACGACCTAACCCCCACAGGTCGGGAACCTCGTAATCCTATCCCAAAACCATTACACCTGCCAGTGTTTCTGGTTTTGTGGCCAGTGTCAGACACAGACTGATCCACAGCAGTGATAAACCGGCGCACAGACAGGTGGCCAAAGGGTCGTCGCTCACACATTGTAGCAGTTTGAAATCTGGGTCACAGCAGCAACGTGTCAGAAACACTGGCAAGAACACCGTTTTTGAGGGTTGCAGCATCCCGTGTAAGCACAGACGCGCACGTGCTGACCGATATTAAAAGCTAGTGGGCACCAGTAGGGCAGTGAAATGCTGCCTCCTGAGCTCTCACAAAGTCATGGATTTCCGAGTGGGTAAGAGTTTTGCACGCGCGCTCTTCAGAAAAGCATGCAACATGAAGAACCGACATACTTCCAACCTCGAGAACAACTTCAAGCTATGCCGAACAAGTAGCACCATGGGGCGGTGGGTGTTCCACAAGCGGTCGACCACCCCGCCAACAAATCTGTTTTGTGGACGCATCCTGGGGGAGAAAGAAGGGTATATGCTTGCGCTTAACGCGATCTTGAAGGGTACCCCTGCACCGCCTGATTTCAGAAAAACGGTCCCAGGTATCTTTCTGAATATGCATTTAAGGCTTGAAAGGCTTGGGGATTTGGGCCTCTAGGCTCTGCGATGTTGGGTTTGGAAGTATCAGGGCTTCTGGGGATTCCAGCTTACCTTTGCCTGTTTTTTAAGGGCTCTCGGCATTACAGGTGCAGCAGGTTGGCTGCTTCCAGCACCACAGTTTTGCCATTACAAGACAAATTTGCATGAAGACCAGAAAACAGAACACAAAAGCACAAAAAACTGCAACCCATCAAGAAGTCAGACATCTACATACAAAACGACATCGACCAGTGCGATCAAGCCTGCAACAGGACTGGTGGCAGGGAACGGAGGCGTGCTGGCGATGCAAAGAAAGGGCTGGCACGCCAGTCGCGGCCTGCCGTCTCTGCAGCGTTCATTGAACACGGTTGGCATGCAGGGTCCCACTGCTTGGCTGAGCTCCATGCCACAGCGCTCAACGCCTCCACCTTTCGTGTACCAGAATTATTCTCAAATCTGCTAACATATCTGACAGAGGCTTCAGGACAGCGTGACGGAACTTTTGCCCGAGACACGTCCCAGGTAGCCCTCTGCCTCAGCCAGCACATTGGACAGCGACAATACAGACTTTGTATGAGCATGTATAAGCTAGTGTTCGAGCACCATAGCAGTATCCAGATTTTTCCAGCACAAAGCAATCAAGCGCCACCCAATAAAATCACAGCTTTTGCAGTTGTGCGATCAAACATGTGTTGTTCAGAGTCGATGCGAATCACGAGGATCCCAACATTCAGGGCTCACAGCGACGACCGCAACGAGGACCCCAAAATCAAGGATCATAATGCAATAACGGGAATGATCGCAACCACTCTATTCCCTAGACCGCATACGCACTGGCTCGTCTTTTCTTTCCACTGGATGGCAGCAGTCGTACAATCCAACCTAGGCTGCCACTAGGATAATGCATGGGGTTCCTGTCACCCGGGTAGCCACCACCTGATCCGCAGGATACCTCCCGTCCAGTGGCATATCCGCAAGTGGCTTCCACGCCACATCACGCCACACGGAAATCACCCAAGGCACTCACTCTCAATGCATTACAAGAACTGCACGATGCTGATAATCCCTGGAACTGGAAGGGACAAGAGCAGCAGCGGGAAAGATGCTGGAAACATTTCAAAACCGTTGGCCCCAGGCCATGGGTCTGTCCACCCTAGGCGGGAGATGTCGTCCGCCCAATTCAATTTTGATGGATCCACTCCCAATATAAAAAGAGTGCAGTTGAGAGCGAAGAGGCACAAGTGGATAACCTGGGAGAGCCGCTCAAGGTCTGACGATGACCATCTGCCTCGAATGAGCGACATCAGGGCCGCCGTATTATCAACGAACCAAATGCCACGTCGGTTCCTGAGTTCCGCCGGTCTCGCGATGAGACCAAAAGGATCATGGCGAAGGCAACGTGGCGGTCGCCAGCTTGGAAGTGTAAAAACTCAAACCCAAAACAAAGTCAGGTTTCTTTTGCAACACACTTTGAGCCTTGATGTAGCAACGCAGTCTCAGCTAGCTGGAAAACAACAAAAGTCGGGGACCAACAATCCACATGACATATGTCCTTTACATGCCAAAGTGGATGCTCTCAAATGTTGTTACCCCCTTTGATAGTTCACGATTTGAGTGAACGATCACCTCAACATTGGAGAAACCAGAAAATTCCTCGCCTAGTGCAATAAGCTTCTGGCGGAGCTCAAAACGTCACATGACTGAACGCTAACTGGTCCAATCAACCAAAAGAGTCGTCCCTTTGCTTCAAAGTTTCACTTTGGAAAAGTTGAACGACTTTGAATCTTACCACTTCTCAATACGACTGCAAAACAAGTGTGCATACTAGAAGGCGGGGGACTTCTTGCGGTCCATTGCTCTTCGCCGCCTCTCTTGACATCTTGCTGTCTGGCCATCTTGGGGGCCTTTTCTTGATCTAGAGACGGCTAAGCAAAACTTCACAGGACAAGAAATGTTATGGCATCGCACAACACGTGTACATGTCCAAAATTCTGCACACTGAACTGTGAACATGCAAAGCGCGTTCCACGCTACAAATTAGGATTTAAACACCACATGCAATCATACAATCACAAATGGCTCACTTCGAACATGTAGTCAACATAGTCATCAGCTTCATGAACTCTTCACTCTCGACCATCAGCCATCTTTGCAGGTCCATCCCGAATGGCCTAACCAAGTTCAGGGGGACCGCATTGACGACAAGGTCTGCAGCCTCCTTGAACTGCTTCTGCAACGCTAAGCCTTCGTACTCTTCCAGGGTTACTGCGTACCATGCCACATGTGAGTCGGTGATAGCGACGTCCAGTGGGGAACACGCAAACTTGCTCTTGCGCATGACGCTGGCCAATTTGTCCTCGAGGAATTTGTTGGGGCGCCAATGGAACTTGCGGGACCGGCTGAGGTCTTGTCAAAACTTGTGGAGTCTGTTGGGCCATCGTAGGAACTTGGGGCAGCGATGTTCTCCTCCATCCACTCATAGAGGCGATCTCGTACAGCATCATCAACACCAGGACCGGCTACATCACCACCAGGATTAGGCTGAGGATCTTCGCGTTCTTCTCCCCCTTCAACCAAATCATTTACGACTTCAAAACCGGTCTCACTTTCCTGATCTCTTCTTTGATTTCTTGGGCTTCTTGGTGGACTCGTCGTTGGGCTTGACATCACGGTCGCTCCCAAGTCGCTGTTGTCTGTCATCACCGTTGCTAGGTCGTTTTCGTTGGTCTGCGTAGAACTTGGCTCGCCGCAGGGAAACTTCTTCAGCATATCCTTCACCGTGGTCCAATAGCTGGTAAGCATAGCGGTCAACACACAAACCATCAACGACACCAAAATCAACCAACTGCTTGTAGCTTCTATTGGTTGTGGCAACATCATGACCATCTCGTTGATCACTGTTGTACTTCCGAATCCATTTTGCCAAGATTTTCTTCGACTCTGAAGATATCCTGCTTCTGGCAGAAACGTGTCGTCTTCGTTCTGGTCTCCGGACGCTGAGGCTCTCACTGGAACTGTCATCGTCAGAATCAAGATCACGACATTGAGCAAGAGCCGAGAATCGAGTCGGAGGTGCCTTTGAATTGGCGGACGAAGAAACTTCAGATCCGCGAGGTAAAGTACCAGGGTCATCACCAAGGGCAGGAAGACCAGGATTGCCACCACGCTGACCGAAGCTTTGTCCACGTTCATCAACGCCATGTGCTTGATGGAATCTAAACATGTCACGCCCTGACTTCCTACGTGAAATGCTGTAAGACTGTGACCTTCTGCTGCGCGCGTAGCTTCCATTAAAACACATGCACTCAAAATCACTTGACGAATCGCTTGCAAGGTACTCTTGCTCTCAACCTTCGCAACTCGCTTCAACTCATGACGTACAAACTCAGGCTCAATAGGGTCCTTCGTGAGAATTGTCAAAAGCTGTCTAGCCGGGGCATCGGCGGCATCGAGGTCCAAAGTACGGTTTGGTTCCCAATACTCTCCGCATTCAAAAACTTCATACTCTCGACCTCTCTTCCAAATGAGCGTAGAGCGATGGGGCCACTCATCAGGATTGAAGCGTGCTGAAGGATCAACAGTCGTAGACATGTTGTATGCCAAATGAACTGGTAACATGGATGTACTCAAGCTCCATCCAGGAGATTCGGCATGCTCTGCCATCTCTTCATCAATTACAACAACCATGCGAACAGATTCTGACACCAAGAAACTTTCAGCTCGGGTTCCTCCTTCAACGGAGGCATCACCTAGCCGCTGATTACCCTCAGCGGAGGCAGCGCCTAGCCGCTGATCAGCAGCGGAGGGTTCACCTAGCCGCTGATCAGCGTCTTCGCCATCTCCTTGCGCTACCATTTCTTCCAGGCGCGAAATTCTCATATGCGTAGCTAAGCTGTTCCTGAGGCTCAGGGAGACCGGACAGGTTTATAGGAACCCCTCGCGACCGTTTCTATTCCTCCCATTTCTCCGCTACTTCCCAGTAGCCACCTACCATGGAAGATAAGCGCAGCCGGTCACCAGCGCCCGGAGTGGTGACACCGCAGGAGCCGGCACAGACTCTGGGGCAAAGGGAACAAGAGCAATTTCAACAAGAACTACAAGCCCTGAGGAGCATAGTGGAAAGACAGGACGGAAGGTTGAACACCATCGACCAACGCTCAGCACATACCCGCGATCAAGTTCAGAAAGCTCAACAACTGGAAGCTTCGAAACAGGCCATTGTCTCCAGCTGGCCAGATTCAGCAGGACCACAAGACAGATCTCAGGCGGTGGAGTACATGGTAAACAGGCATGAAGCCCTCAAAGGCAAGTATGCCAGCACAACGACCCTCCGCAGCAAATCTGGGTGGAGCCAGTTTAGCATCGTGGAGTTTTTTACGAAAGAAGCCCGGAATGAGTTTCTAGACTTGGTCAAGAAAGATTCGCTCACCTGCCACGGTCAGATAGCAGTCGCACGTGCACAGATCCCGAAGTACCAGCGAGAGGCGGACCAACCGCTTAGGTGCGCCATTCTTGTGTATTCCCAGATTGTTGGCAAACAGCAGCGTTACAAACCAACTTGGGAAATCAGTGCAGTCTGGCATGAAGGGGAGTGGATACTACACATGCAATCTCATGAGAATGACAAAACCCGTCTCACTATGTACGTCGCCGAGTCCTTCAAGGAACAGTTCAGCAACAAATTCGCTGAGGAATGGGCCACATGGGGAGGACAACGGGGCGCAGTCCGCAGAGCTGATGGGTATCGACCACAGGATTTCTTCCAAGTACAAGTTGAGGCCGTCACCAGCGCAGTGACAGCAGAGCTAAATGAGAAGCACAATGCTCTCCAAGAGCAAAAGCGGCAGGCTTCACACAGCTCTCGCCACACGCAGCCCAAATCGGAGGCAGACGATGACATGAATGGCGGTTTCCGACCAGCAGTGAGGCCTCCTAGGCCGAAGGCGGAAGGTAGGGGCGCCAACACGCGCCAGTAGGAAGTAGCAGACCACCACTATCAGCAACAGTTATCGCCACAAAGCCTAACGACCATTTCTATTAGGGGTAGATGTGACTCTCGCCGCCCAGTTGGCGAGCCGGGCCCACCGCGGGGTTCATTGTTACCGACCATTTCTGACGACCATTTCTTAACGCTTGACAAGCATGACATGAAAGCTCTAACACACCAACCCCTGCGGATACAGAGAGAATACCGGTCTAGCAAACGAGGCTTGAGATCTGAGGCAGCCCTTTTACAACGTAAATGCAATAGACAGACGAAACGCAGAATACATCGGAGACAATATAGATGGTGTTGTCCCAACATGAGGGGTTTAGCTGAAGATATGCACGGGGGCAGTTTGGGCAGCTGCTCTCAAACTATCGTGAAGACCACTCAAGGCCCTCAGCCTTTGAAAGACGCGCGTAACCGCAGCCACACGCGCCTAAGCCACACGCGCCTATACGAGGAACACCGTAACCGTCACAAAGCAGATTTATCTTTGTACAAAATGCCCTATGGCAGCATGATCAAAATTGTTTCACTTAATGCACGC